CGCCGTCCTTCCTGCTTCCTTTCATTAATAATGAAAATATAAGAAAAATAATGCTGATTCTATTTACTATGTGTCTCTGGATTGTTGTGGTCTTCAGGACCAACGGGGCAATCATCAAGGGCTTTGAGGAGGACGTGGGGTCTCGGACCACCCACTACACGTTCTCCACAAACACGCTGATGAATTCCATGTTGAGCTACGCAGGTATCGGGTACAGACGACCCCCCGTGTCTAAGGTGAGGACGGAAATAAACATGTCTTTATTAAGTGACGACGTTAAAACGGTCGTGTCACGCTCGGCTGCTCCCTCCTCTCAAACAGGAAACGCGGTACATTTTCCTGCCGGATCACGACCGAGATTACCTGCTGATGAAAGCGGCGGCGACGCACACCCTGGTGGACAGGGGGCGTGAGAAGGGCAAAAAGTAAGCGACACTTTACAGACTGCAGCTTCAGTCCTGTTTTCTTCTGCGTTTACCCGTTTTTAATTTGATTCTTATCAGCATCAAGGCCCGAGGAGTGGAAGCGTCCTCTGGGTTAGTCCACTGCCACTAGCAGGAGTTCTCCACACTTTATGAAGTTTTATCAAAGATTTTCTTTGGACACGAGCTGCTTTTTCACTCATTTTCAGTCCAATTGTTGTCCCTGACCTTGTTCAAGGGAACAGTCATCTCACCAGAGAGCAGAGTAAAGGCAGAAAACATCCAAAGAAGAGCTTTGAATGTCCGTCAAGAAGCCTGGAGAAGTATTCCTAAAGACGACTGAAAGAAAGAAAGCTGAATCGCAGAGCTCACACTGTGTTGAAGAATAAGTGTGGTCATAACTAATATTGACTTTCAAGCTCGTTTAAATTGTACAAACTTGTTTTTTGCCTGCATGTCTGCAACTCAAGACTTGCACAGCCAGCTTTGTTTGTGCAGAGCTGCAGAAACAGAGTCTTACTTTTTGGAAATATGATTGCTGACATGAAGCAGATGATATTTCCTGCAGACAATCCAGCAGATTAAACCTGACTAGTCTGTATTTGTTTATAATGTCACAAGATCAAATGTGTCAGAAGCGTCACTGCTCATCAGTGATCTTTGAATGTTAATACTTGTGCTCTCCAGCAGTTGCGGTGTTTTTATAGTAATGCCGTATTTCCTTCACAGTCCAGTGAAGTACTTTGGTGAGGACGTGTCAGCAGAGAAGTTGAAGATGTACCATCCTGATTTCATCCGTTACCTCAGAAACAGGTGAGCAAATTCTCACGTGTGAAAGCAGAGCTCGTGTTTCAAAAGGAGAAGCAGCGACTGAAACCAGAGAGCTGCTGAGGGAAGATCCCCACGCAGCCACACTGGGCCACAGAGGTCACATTCTGTGTGTGTGTGTGTGTGTGTGTGTGTGTGTGTGTGTGTGTGTGTGTGTGTGAGAAACCTCAAGCTTCAGTTCCTGAAAGGCTCACAGCGCAGGCTTACTCATGTTTTGTGATCTTTTTGTTTCAGATTCCTCAGATCCAGCACTCTGAAAACCAGATTCAAAGACATCTACCGTCCATCAACCGGTGCCACAATGCTGCTGGCGGCGCTGCACACCTGTGATCAGGTACGTTTCCAACAGTCTGTTGTTTACTTATCACGAGACAAGGCCGAACTTGCCCGATAGCGTGAGAATGTTTTGACTTTGAGCAGCTGAGCTGCAGAAGCATGCGCTGCATTTCTGTTAAATTGCTGTGTGTCAAAAAGCCTCCACAGAGTTCTGTTTTTGATCTTTACTGTGGCGGCAGCGAGCCTTATACTTCCAGATTCTGTATCCGGTTAATTGCACGTTAAACCTGTTTTCCAGCCTGAGAAAATGAAAATGAGCCCAGTGGGTCAAATTGAACCAAAACTGGCATTTTGCAGTTTACAGTCACCAGATTCCTAATCTCTGTCTTTTGATTCTAGGTAAGTGCGTACGGCTTCATGACCCCAGACTACAAGAAATACTCTGACCACTATTACGACAAAAACTATCACCCTGTGGGCTTCTTCGCCAACCACGACCTGCGTATGGAGATGAATCTGTGGCAGCAGCTGCACAAGGCCGGCCTCATGCGGCTCTACATGCGCAACTAAACGAGGATGATGAGAAATTTCATCACTCCGTCTGCACGCGGATCACCAGCGGAGGCGGGATGTGCAGAAACGTGGGACTGTGCCCGTCTCCAAATGACACAAGTTTCTGAAATAAACACAAAACCAGCAGATGATTTATTTTCATGAAGGAAATGATGATAAATTTGATTTCTAAAAGACAGCTGCTGTTATTGTTCAGCAGAGATCACAGTTATGGGACTAGTATTTGTTTTGCCTCTTTTTAAAGGAACCTTTCTGTCCTGGGAAGCATTATTTTGGTGACTGGTAGGAAAATGGATCCTATTATGTTAATTTAAAAGATTAAAGGGCCCGCTGGTCTGGGCCACGCAATCCTGTGACGGTAAATCAAACGGTGTAAGCTGTGAGTCACAATCTCTAAGATACTGTCAGACTGTTAAGATGCTTTCAACAACCTCAAAGGGGAGCTCTTCTTCTCCTCCTCCTCCTCATCTTCTGTCATACACGGGCTCTTCCAGTGTTTCACTTACCTGCTGGTTAAACCATCTGTTTATGAGGGGCAACCAATAAGAAGAAAGTAAGCTAACGTGGTTCATTTCAAACAGAGAATAAACTGAGATTTACTTTGAACTGTGCTCCTCTGGTAGAGTTCAAAATCATGACTGTAAATCTGGGAATCGGCAGAATTGATCAGCTTTAGTTGGAGTTGAAACACTCCAGATATGCTAATTCTTTTAAGTGTTATTTCCTCTCTTTGAATAGATGGGCACAGATTCTTGTCTAGTTAAAGAGGGAACTGATTTGCTATTGTAAAAGTTTATAATTGTTTTAAAATGATTTCATTATCTCTGCAGACAATCTGTGGTGATTTATGGTAATATTTGGCTTTCCTGTGAACCTTTCTGCTGCTGCTACAAGCTGAACTGGAAATTGTCCCGTCTGTCTTGTTATGTATTTATTTTTAAACCAGCAAACCACCAAAAAAATGTTTACTCTGAGAACTTTAGATCGTATCATACAATCGGTCTCTGGCAAAGCTCAAGTTATTATTGTTTGACGCAGCAAGAGCGCTCTCGAGTTGGCAACGCGCTTAAAATATCCCGTCCCTGCCCTAAGCGAGCGGCCTGAGCACTGCTGGCAGTGACCACGGCCCATTTTTATATGTTTTCTTTTTTTCTGTGTGAGTTTACTGTGGAATGAAAAGGGAAATAATTCACTGACTGTGACTTTAAAGCTCACAAAAAAATTAAGTATTTAGTTTAAGGGACGTAATTTATTCTCTTGTTTTAAACATATTTTAATTTCTTTTTTTTAACACTTAACTACATTTTGTGGCCTCTACTGGACTTTCAGTGCCTTCAATGTGAAACAGCAGTTTAGTTAATTACTGTAAGAACTGAACTTTATTGCCAGACTCCTTCAGCTCTGACTCATCAGCTTCTGTCTCTGAACTGACCGTGGGGGCTCTGCCCTCGACTACATGGATGTACTGTCTTCAAGCTTAAAGGGGATTTTATTGTATTTTATTAACAATACTACAAGTTTGAAGTGGAAGGAAGGTAACCAAACCAAAAACCGTCACATCAGGGAACGTGTGTATTTAAAAATTAGCCTTCTGTGTTATTAAATCAGTGCAGAAAAAGCAATGCAATATTTCCAGCATTTCTGCAAACTGTCGAGGGGAAGGGGACTTCTGGTTTATATACGGTGCAATGATTGATTGTGATTTTTAAAAAAATTAAATCCATATCTCAGTGAGTTTGTGAGTCTTTCTGTCATAACCTGAGAGTTTGGTCACACTTTATTTTACAGCTTTGATTATGTTTTTTCTACCAAAGATCAAGAGGAAGGTTCTAGAAATTATCATTTACTGTTACTAATTATAAAATGGAGAATTTATTTATCGGTTTGTTTTCTTAACTGCATTTTCTAATCCCGGGTCATGAGGAGTTCTGGAGCTTATCCCAGAGGCCTGGACTGGTCACCAGTCTATCACAAGCCTCACACAGAGAGACTATTCACACTCACAGCCAGTTTACCCAGCAAGCATGTCTCTGGACTGTGGGAAGAAGTCATGCAAGCACAAGGAGAACATGCAAACTCCCCAGGCAG